ATGAAACGTAAAATGGCATTTAACTGTTGAGGTGTTTTGCTGGTGAGAGATTTTAGTTGCTTTAGCGTGTAGAAGCTAGTAAGCCTATTTGATTTGTTTTAGATAGGGACAACATGTTTCATATGCAGACCTTATTTTCCTGTTCCATGTGGTACCGCTGAGAAAGAGTAATTTTTTTGGTCATGGAAAATGTGGTAAAGGTCATGGAGAAGTCGTGGAAAAGTCATTGAAAATCATTGGTGAAAAAGTGTATGAACCCTGAATAAAAACACTTTACAATAAAAACACTTTACAACAAATACAACAGCAAAAATAAAAAAAAAATAAAAAAATCACACACAGGGAAATGTCAGGAATTACGTAAAAGAAAGGCCCACTTAAAGAAAACAAAAAAACGTTAAAGTCTATCTGATTTGTTTATTTACAATTGTGTCACCGCTTAACATTGCCGTGAAACAGCAACTATGAATAACTATAATTCGGTAATAAATTGAATATGGATAATTACCTCATACAACCACACTTCTCAACATCAAATGTTGTCTTTAAAGTTTGATAGCTGTAAACCCTGTCCGTGTCCTTGCTGTTCTGTAACAGTTTCTCCTCTCTCTGCAGGAATGTGGTCCGAATGTTTGCCACAGCCGAGGGGATCCTGACCCAACAGGACCGCCTCAACTCAGACGGTCTGCAGGAAGTGTTTGCCACCAACCTCTTCGGTCATTTTCTCCTGGTACACCACAGACATGAAATCTAAAATATAACAAGAAACCATTTAATCTGACATTGTAGCCTATATACAGTCCTGAATACTATATGATGTTACAGTATAGTTATTTAGTATTATAGTCGTACATGCATAACGTATATATAGTATATAAGTCATGTACCGTTTGGTGCAGATCAGGGAGCTGGAGCCGCTGCTCTCCAGGCTCGTGTGGACCTCCTCCAGTAACGCCCGCCGCTCCGCCTTCAGCATGGAGGACATGCAGCACCGAGAGGGGAGGGAGTCCTACAGCTCCTCTAAGTACGCCTCAGACATGCTCAGCCTGGCTCTCAACAGGCAGAAGAACAGCCAGGTCAGTCCATCAGACAGTCTGCACACTACCAATTCAGGAGTGACATTTGACACACACTCCAACATTTAGGTTGGTCACAAGGTCATTATAGTGGCTGCAGGCAGTCCTTTTCTTTAAAGAAGTCTTAGCAGGCCGCAAAACAGTTGTTAACAGTGTAAAAAAGTTACAATGTGGTCCCGTTTCCTCTAGGTGGCGCCAAAAGGCATGTTTGTTAGTATGTTAAAAAAGTATGTTCACATACATTATTTTTCTCTATTAACCATCAAAAGCAACTGCTATCGTTCCCCGGATGTTTCCCTTTATGTTTGTTTCCTTTAAACTCTTGTTTGTTGAAGAGGACAGTATTTTTTTGAGACCAATGAATAAAATGATAGCAAAATTCATTTTTTCGTTGGTTGACGGGGTAAAAAATCTGCACTGTGAAATATTATAGTTTTAGATCTCCTTTGGATATACCAGTAGAGTTAGATTTTTTAATTGACCTGCAAATAATGTTTAATTGGTCATAATTTATCTTAAAAAAAAGCATAAAATAACTTTTAGAACTCTCACCACTCTTAAAGCACAATCAACTTTGTTAATTAAATAGAAAGTTATTGACAATGTGCATCAGGTAGAACGTAAAAATGTTCCTGAAATAAATGTGTTTTCTCTCTGTGACAGGGGCTGTTCTCCTCTGTCATCTGTCCCGGGCTGGTGATGACTAACCTGACCTACGGGATCCTCCCCTCCTTCTTCTGGACCCTCATCATGCCCGTCATGTGGCTGGTGAGTGAACCAACTAATCTCTGGGAAACATGATTAGAATCACACATTATGGAGCTATAGGAGTGCCATAATAAAAATATATTAATATTATTATAAAGAAATATTATAATGCATTATTTTTTTAAATATGGGTTTTTTGCAGATAAATTACTCAAGATTTTCAAAATCAATAGAAACAAGGAAAATAAATACTGTATTTATTTATTTTTTTAAATACATAATAATACATACAGAAAAGAAAAGAAACAAATGTGAACTAAATTATAATGCATTTAATTATCTTAATCATTGTTTTATTTGTTTATCTTTACATTATTTGTTATTTACCTCTTTATTATGTTTTTGTGTCATTAAATGTTTTCTCATATTTAGTTTTTATGGCGCTCTAAGGACTCCATAGAGTTTGCACTGTATAATGTAATGGGATGTATTTTCTCTCTGTGCTTAATAGATAAGGATCTTCACCAACACATTCACGCTCACACCACACAACGGAGCAGAGGCGCTGGTATGTTGCTGTCAGTACGAAATAATGCACACATATCTCTAAAATGAATTCCTATAAACACGACGTCCTGCTTTTTAACAGCACTGGCTGTTTCTACAAAACCCTGAGTCTCTGGACCCTAGAGCAAAGTATCACAGTTTAACATCAGGGCTCGGAACAAACTACACTCAGCCTTGCCAGGTGAGTAACCAGAGAGAGACATCATACTGCTTTACGTGAAATGTAAACAAGCTGAACCTGAGTACAGTGGAAACCACTTAGTGATCACGGTAACTACTACTACTACTACAACGCTAGTGCCAGACATATTTCTTTACTAAACCTGTTTAAATAATTAGCTAATAATAATAACAATATAATCCTCTGCTTACAGGGTTCATTTTGTGCATTTTCGTACATTAGACCACATACAATTTGACATACATATATTTGATTTTTATACTAATGATTGAAAGCCTAATTTATTTTTAGGCCTGTTCAAAAATATAGAAATGCACTGCCAAGTTGTGGCTCATTAGCATTTTTGCACAACTGCTGTTTCTTTATTTGTAAACAGCACAATATGTTTAATTGAACTAAAGTAATTTAAATACAGTACTGCAGTGATTTAGAATGTATTTGAATCAGAATATCTTAACTTTGTAATGTATATACATTTTATTTATTCCGAGGAAAAATGTTTTGGGAGTTGCTCCAGCTTCGAATTATATAAAAGATACATTTAAAGAAATTGATTACTAATATTTATATAAACATAAGAAGCTAAAGTAAAAATTCCAATAAAGGTTGAAATCAAATAGACTCAAATACAAATATTTATAAAAACATAAGAAGTGAAGTAAAAGTGTTTTTAAGTCAAAATAATGTTTTTCATTCTTGTCTCAGATGGACATCGATGAAGGAACGTCCGATGTCCTCTATTCAAAACTCCTCGAGCTTGAGAAAGAAGTCCGAAGGAAACAGAGTGAAGAAAATGCCGACGAGGAAATTTGTGCAGTGAAATAGTGAGTCATTTGTAATGGATACATTTGCTCTGAATAAAGTGCTCTTATTCTTTTCATTCTTGCGATTTGTATCACTGAACAATGTGTCTCTATTGTCTTTTCTACATAAGTAAAATTCCACAAGACTTTTCTTTGCATTTGCCCTTTCTGAGATCAATAACCAGCAGAGGTCTCTCATGTTGTAACTAAATACCACCACCGCTGCTGCGTCTTCACCTGATATCTGTATCATGTTCTTCTTCAGCGGGCTTCTAACCTTACAGACTTGAATCAGCTGTTTGCCTGTAAGGTCTGGTTTACCTCCAGCTCTTCCATCAGCTGTCACCAGGGTCTCCTTTTACCACAGATCATAAATTATGACGTGGTTAGCTGAAAGGCATGACATGCTCACTGACAAGGTCTTTAACAGACACATGCAGGGTAAAACAATTCTTCTTTTCACAAGCTCTTATGCACAACTTTTGTTTTACTGATATTTCACTGAAATTCAAAAATAGAACTGCTTTGTGGTAGCAAAAATAGGGCTTTAGAGGCTCAACTGCTTAATGTAATTGTGTTTTGCTTTAGCTGCTCCCGGCACACTGGTTTGCAAGATGATTGCCTTTTTTATTTTTTATTATAGGAATATAAGAGAAAAATATACATGACGAATGTGCATCAGAGGCCTTCTTTTAAAGCCATTTCAGAAAAGAAATACAAATAACTGAACTTTAATCGGTGAAATGTTCCAAGCTCTGCTTTTTCTTGTTTGCAAATAGGGAACAATTACTTGCCCGATTTTCATTCAACTTTATTAAACAGTGTAGCATTTATTGTGATTGTAGTAATGTGTTTTTATTACATGTACAGCACTTTGGCTCGACCAAAAATCGCTTTTAAATGTGCTTTATAAATAAAACTTGATTTGATTTGATTAGACCAAGGAAGAACCCATTTATTTGTGCATTTATGGAATCAACCATTCTAGGTTATTTCTTTATTTCATTACACATTTTGACTGCATGGATGTTCTCTAATGAAGCGCTAAGATGAAAATTAGCAATGGTCATAAACACGTGCCCTGGGCCTGAATAGAGTTTCACTCTTGTTTTTAAAATCAATGACATCCATTGGTGAAACAAACTCGAGTTACATGAAAAAGTGCCTGAATATGTCTTAATCCAGTGTGACAGCTTCAGTGTGCTGAGAGCTGTCTGTGCACAGGGCGGTCTTGTCAGATATTGTTCCGCCAGCTGTTGCTCAGCATGCCCCTGCTGGCTCTAAACACAACATTTGCAGCTTTTTATAAACTGACAAATCCCACTTAATCTTATGATATGTGTGTCTGTAGCAGCACAGAGTCAATGCTACAAAATACAAGGACTTGAACACACTGCATATATTTTTTAACAGCAATAATTGTATAGAATCTATAGAGTTAATTTAAGTAATGTAGACTAATAGAGATATTGGTTTATGATTTAAATACCTAAGTGACACTTCTTCAGTCAAACCATGAAATATGTAATAGTGTTTTGTTCTGTACAGCATCATGTATGTACCTTTGACAAAACAGGACCAGCAGACTATGGAAAGCTTCCCCTGCATGTGACTTCCTCTCAGAAATTAAAACCCGGATTACTGTAGGAGGATATAAGAGCACATAGTTACATAATGTAAATAAAAACATTGCAGCCAGTGTGTTCAGATTGGTGCGCTGTGCACGATGTCCCGGATGGTGCTCGCACCGGAAGAGAAGGGGCAGCTCTCCCAGCCATCTTGTGGCAGCATCCAGCGAATTGTTCGCATCAAGCCTCGTAGAATCGGAGGTGAATCCCGTTGAAGGGGCGCCATCATGCCCGGACACCTGCAGGAAGGCTTCGGCTGTGTCGTAACCAACCGGTTCGACCAGTTATTGGACGATGAGTCCGACCCGTTTGAGATCCTAAAAGCGGCGGAAAACAAGAAGAAGGAGGCGGCCGCCGCTGGCTCCAACAAGACCGCAGCTCAAGCCGCGAAGCAGCCGAAGAAGGAGTCACAGAAGGACAGGAAGAACCCGCTGCTGGACAAGAAGGACGAGTCCCAGGCTCCGGTCCCACTGAAGAAAGAAGGTAACACAAGCATTCACCTGCTCTTTAGCTTGTGAGCAGTGCATGTTTATTTTCATCTTTATCCTATAAACTGTCATGTACATCTTAGGTGCTTTAGCTGATGCTGGACTGAAAACAGAGGGGTCAACCTGACAGACCGAGGTTAGCTAGAGAACAAGAGGAGGCTGCACCGTGGGGGGGGGGGCGCGGGTACACCTGCAGCGGACCAGAGAGCCTGTGAGCGGGCACGGTGTCCCGCAGCATCCCGCAAGACGGTGCAAAGCTCGGGTCCGCTGGAGGATGGGCACTACGCAGCTCCGTTAGCGGCTGCAGGCAGCGGGACGTTCACCTGCGCAGAGAAACCAGACAGACGGCTCTTTGTTTGCATCTGTCACATTTTTTACTACTGTGAATTTAGATTTTGTTTAAGTTTAGTCCTCTAAAATAGAGTTAACAAACCGAGGTAATGAAGAAGGCCCGCTGTTAGCCTGTGTTGTTATTAGTGTGCAGTGAGAGCTGTTGTTTAAGCTGCTGGATGGAGACAGTGAGAGCTTTGCGTGACAGATTGATCTTTCCTGCACGTATATGGGTTAAAACATTATTGTTAACGTTTAAATATCACTGCCATTAGGAATATAAGAATGATATTATATAAACTGTACTTACTGCCACTTGAAATACCTCATTTATATAAAGCAACATAATAATTCCATATATATTTTCAGCGCCTTTTGCACTCAGCACTATTTTCGTACTGGCTAAACACTCCGTTGTGGTGTTGTTTGCAGTTGCATCGTATACATTTTTTTTTTATATATATATAATTTTTTTGGGGGCCCCAATAGAGAGGCTAACTCCCCTTTTGTGTATGTACAGCTCTCAACATGCCCAGACTTGTAGTGATTTTCACCTCTTTTAATACTTTTCGCCTCATTCTGAAAGAAAGAAGTGAAATGTGCCAACGTGACGGCCGTCTTGGTGTGTTTGATTGATTGATTGAAAAGTTTATTAACAGCTTGTATATTGGGTACAGTACAGTACAGCTCAAAACATACAATTGTTAAGGGGATGCAGACCAGAGAAAGACTTTCGTCTTGTTTACATCAGGGTCCCCCATTTCCAATTCATCATATCATTTAAGACATATAAGACATATTTGACATACAGATGGCTTATTTACAATTTACATACAGGTGGTTTTTTTACATACAGATGGCTTATTTACAATTTTCATTTTAGATTTCGTTCTAATACATCCTAACCGGACATTTAAGACATACCAAGTCTACAGATATACAGTTAGTAACAGAGTCTAAAATGCGAGTATATACATAGATGGGGGGGGGAAGCTGTCCATTGTACGACAGGTTGAGATTTGTACCATTACCGGGGCCAGTTTTGCAATGCTTTCCCCCGAAGGTGCTCTTTAAGAGAGGTTTTGAAGGTAAGTATAGTTTTACTTTCCTTTACAGTTGTGGGAAGAGCGTTCCACCTTGATGTGGCATAATTGCGAAACGTGTATTCCCCTTTTTTTGTGCCAAATCTGGGTTTTACATGATTTGTGGAGCTCCCTCTGGTGTTATGATCATGGTATTCCTTGACCTTTGGGAAGAATTTTGACATGTACATGGGTACCATAGAGGTGTAGTGGATCTTGTAGACCAGGCCCATTGCAAGTAGCTGTACTCTGTCGTCTACTCTAAGCCATCCTAGGTTGTCAAAGTGGGCAGAGGTGAGGTGGGTTCTAGATGAAAGGTCAAGCAGTAGTCTGACCAGTTTATTTTGCGATGTTTGAAGTTTTATTTTTAGCGCCTTGGAGGTGCTATGGTACCATGACGTGCAAGCATAGTCATAGTACCCTTGAATGAGTGCTCCTGCCAGAGTTTTCAGGGTGTTTTTGTTTACCAGAGAGGAGATCCGGTATAGGAATCTAGTTCTTTGATTGACTTTTTTTATTACATTGGATGCCATTTTGTCACAGGAGAGGTTTGCCTCAAGAATAGATCCTAGGTATGTAATTTCCTTCTTACTTGTGACAATAATGTCACCCACTGCAACTGAGAAGTCGTCGGATTTGCTGAGATTATGTTTCGAACCGAAGAGAATGGACTCTGTTTTACCCAGGTGTAATGATAATTTATTATCGGCGAGCCAGGTGCAGATTCTGCCGAGCTCGGAGCTGAGGGTTTTTTCAACCTGCAATCTGCTCCTGTCAGAGACCAGCAGGGCTGAGTCGTCCGCGAACAGGAACAAGTTGCAGTCACATGCTGATGACATGTCATTTGCATAAATTAGGAACAGTAACGGACCTAATATGCTTCCTTGTGGAACACCACAGCTCACTGGGAGGGGGGGGGACAGAGTACCGTTTACCTCCACCATCTGTTCTCTCCCCTCCAGGTAGGATTGCATCCAGCTCACCGATAGTTTATCAGTGTGTGGTGCGAGACGGGAGATGTAGTGTTACTTCACAGTTTTACGACATATTTTAAATTTTTTGACTTGTAAAATTATCTTTTAAATTGACAAACATCATATGTGTAATTCGTGGCACAATTCAAACGGGATCGAAAGATAATCTTTCTCTCTCCATTGACTTCAATGCATAACTTTTCCGAAATAAGGTCCCATAGAGCTCAACCGGAAGGGGAGGGACTTCGCCTCTCTACACACCGTCTCGCACCACACACCAAGACGGCCGTCACGTTGGCACATTTCACCTCTTTCTTTCAGAATGAGGCGAAAAGTATTAAAAGAGGTGAAAATCACTACAAGTCTGGGCATGTTGAGAGCTGTACATACACAAAAGGGGAGTTAGTCGGTTCTGTAAGAGCCAGCTTGCGGGACCGGGATTCTGGGATTTGTAGTCTTTCTAGTTGCGTATTTTTCATAGTCTTATATTTCAACAGTTTTATGACAAACTGTGACTTTTTTGACATGGAAATTATTATTTAAGATTGACAAACATCATATGTGTAATTCGTGGCACAATTCAAACGGGATCGAAAGATAATCTTTCTCTCTCCATTGACTTCAATACAAACTTTTTCCGAAATAAGGTCCCATGAGTCCCTCCCCTTCCGGGGACCTCCATGGGACCTTAGGCTTGTTTGAGACGAGCTGCGGCTCGCCTCGAAAGTAGACGAAAATAGCCGATCGCAGCCGGGGGAGGTCTCAAAAAGCTCGCCTGAAGTCGGACAGCTCGGAGTCGGCTTCTTCTTCTTCTTCATCTCTCGGTTTTTTGGCGGATTGCAAACAACTTTAAGGTGCATACCGCCACCTCCGGAGTCGGCTTGACTCGGTTTGCATTTATAAAGAATGCACAAATGTGTTTAATCGTTAATGTCAGATATGTACTAAGTAAATACATTTGTTCCTGCTCAAGATTAGATTCAACTTTATTGTTATTGCACATAATAGGTACTGAGACAACGAAATGCAGTTTAGCCTCTAACCAGGAGTGCATAAAGCAGTAAAGTGAAAAGTAATGTACACAATCTACAGAATAAAATATAGAATGAATTTAATGATGAATAAACAGTGAGGGGTATGAATACACTAGATATACACAGTAGCCTAGCCTAGTATTAACAGTGTGTATGAATATGCTAAGATATATAAAGTATGAAAACGGTAAGCAGTGCAAGTATAGTATAAAATATATAGATATTAATGTCATGATGATAAACATTGTGGAACAATGATGAAAAATGTGAATGGAAGTGGCGACGTAAAACTGACACAAAACAACAACAACAAACTTTTGCCGAGCCAATGGAGTTTCATCAGCAGCACGGGGTAAAACCCACCAATGAGCGCTCAGCTCGAGATACCAGCGAGTCGTTTCCCCATCAAGCATTTCGCTTCCGCAGCCCGTGGAGAGAAACTTTGCCGCGCCTCGCTCTCAAGTCTGCGGGCGTCTTTGTCCCGCGAGATTTCAACATCTCATGTAGGCGAGCCTCCAGAGCAAATCGGACAAAATAGGCTTGTTTGAGACGAGCTGCGGCTCGCCTCAAAAGTAGACGAGAATAGCCGATCGCAGCCGGGGGAGGTCTCAAAAAGCTTGCCTGAAGTCGGACAGCCCGGAGTCGGCTTCTTCCTCTTCTTCTTCTCTCGGTTTTTTGGCAGATTGCAAACAACTTTAAGGTGCATACCGCCACCTCCGGAGTCGGCTTGACTCGGTTTGCATTTATAAAGAATGCACAAATGTGTTTAATCGTTAATGTCAGGTATGTACTAAGTAAATACATTTGTTCCTGCTCAAGATTAGATTCAACTTTATTGTTATTGCACAGATTACAGGTACTGAGACAACGAAATGCAGTTTAGCTTCTAACCAGGAGTGCATAAAGCAGTAAAGTGAAAAGTAATGTACACAATCTACAGAATAAAATATAGAATGAATTGAATGATGAAAAAACAGTGAGGGGTATGAATACACTAGATACACAGTAGCCTAGCCTAGTATTAACAGTGTGTTGTATGAATATGCTAAGATATATAAAGTATGACAATGGTAAGCAGTGCAAGTATAGTATAAAATATATAGATATTAATTTAATGATGATAAACATTGTGGAACAATGATGAAAAATGTGAATGGAAGTGGCGACGTACAACTGACACAAAACAACACACTTTTGCCGAGCCAATGGAGTTTCATCAGCAGCACGGGGTAAAAACCACCAATGAGCGCTCAGCTCGAGATACCAGCGAGTCGTTTCCCATCAAGCATTTCGCTTCCGCAGCCCGTGGAGAGAAACTGCGCCGCCTCGCCTCGCTCTCAAGTCTGCGGGCGTCTTTGTCCCGCGAGATTTCAACGTCTCATGTAGGCGAGCCTCCTGAGCAAGTCGGACAAAATGACTAACCATCATGCAACGCACTAGCAAGACGTTGATCGCAATTGCGCAGGTCTGCGTCGGTCTCGCTTGTCTCAAGCCTCTTAAAATAATTTCCATCAGTCACAGTTTGTCGTAAACTGTTGAAATATAAGACTATGAAAAATACGCAACTAGAAAGACTACAAATCCCAGAATCCCGGTCCCGCATGCTGGCTCTTACGGAACCGACTAACTCCCCTTTTGTGTATGTACAGCTCTTTTTTTTTCCGCCTCATTCTGAAAGAAAGAAGTGAAATGTGCCAACGTGACGGCCGTCTTGGTGTGTGGTGCGAGACGGGAGATGTAGTTAATTGAGCGGTTTCACACAAAAAAAAGTGTTACTTCACAGTTTTATGACACATTTTTATTTTTTTGACTTTTAAAATTATCTTTTAAATTGACAAACATCATATGTGTAATTCGTGGCACAATTCAAACGGGATCGAAAGATAATCTTTCTCTCGCCATTGACTTCAATGCATACTTTTTCCAAAATAAGGCCCCATGGAGGTCCCCCGGAAGGGGAGGGACTTCACGCAGTCTTCAAAGTAACCAAGCAACCTCAATTAATTTGTAATTTGTCTGTCCAATGACCTTGCTCCCTTTCATGTCATGTGATACGTTGCGTGACGAGCGAACCGTTTAATCAACCTGTACTCTAGCTAGCAGCAGCAAGTTCGGCAGCATTATAAAAAATGTTATAGCTTGCATTTATAATGTAAAGCAAACCAAAGCAAAAGAGCAGCGCTCAAAAGAGAAAGGACAAGAGAGAACAAGGAGATGTAACGGCTAAACTGACGAAATTAGAAATAGATTTTTTTGTCATACATCGTCCTCGAAATCGAGCGCTAACGTTAGCAATGTTGACGTGCAGCGGCAGCCGGAGCCGGAGGCTAACGATAGCTCACCTGCCTCACCACCATCATTGCCATCTAGCTCCACAAGTGAAGCTGTATCCGTGGCCGTGGCTGTGCAACCTTCTTCTCCAGCCAGCCATGAGGAGAGGCTGGATTTGGCTGTGCCCGGCGGTGGTCCAACAGTTCCCCCAAGGGCCCCAACCCATAGGGGACTCTATGGCGCTATTGAGACCCCCGACGCTAAGATCAAAAGCTATATTATAGCAACCGGTCCATGTAGGCCTACCGGCCCATTCCCCAGAGACAAACATCAAGGAAACAGGTTTAATCCTCTTCTTAGTTCGCTGTGTCGTTGTCAGGCTGTGGTGGTCTGAGGCCAGGGCAGGCTGTTGTGGATAGCCTATACATGTGGCGCTTCTGAGTGGTTGTGTATGTCCGTCATAGGCGGCGCCAGGGGGGGCGCTAGGGGGTGCTAAAGCTCCCCCTAGGATAGCCATAGCCCAAGCACCCCCAAGAAATGTATGTCTTTTTTCTTTTTACGTGTGAAATTCATAATTTGAAAAATGATTTATTCTAAAATAATATGCTACAGAACAAGTACTTCTGGGTCTCTGTGTGTTTCATTCAAGCTCGGCTCTGTGTGGGTGTGTGGCAGGCACGCATTTAGTGTGATTAAGCGAGAGAGAGAGAGCCCACCGGTGCCAGGGGCCGTGTTGTTAGCATCTGTTTAGCTAGCTGCACTAACGGATATAAGGAGCTGTTTCTACAACATGAGGTTCATCTCAATACCCCTCCTCGACTCCTCTCTTCCCCTCCTCCGGGACTTGACCCGGAAATCGATCAAGACACGCCATGTTGAAGGACGTCCCAATAGCTGAAATGCACACAGAGGAGTCGAGGAGGGGTGAGGGAGGAGGGGTGCGGGAGGAGACGAAAGGGAGGATACACGAGAGCAGACTACGCGGAAGTGTTTTCACTACTCGCGTATAAAAGCCCCGCCCCCACCTTCACAGCTGGTCGATTTCAAGAGAGGAAAACGGAGAACTGGAAGAATGAGTGGAAAAGCGTCACATAAATGTATAAGTGCTCACAGCTCCGTGGGAATTATTATGTGCAATTCATTTCTTAAGGTTATACTAACAATTTAAGTCTTGTTTAATGATCTTGAACGTCACTAAAACATAGCTATTAAGAAAGCTATTTCATAAATGGCTAGATCTTGATAAATAACAATTATTTTATAGTTTTGTGTTAAAATATTCAGTAGTTAAATTATTTAAAATGCACAGTCCTGAATGTGGGTTTGTGGTGAATGTGGGGATCTACAGGACACACATGTTCAGAGTAAAGGCTTTCACATTATTATAATTGTATTGAAATGTACATTTTACACCACAACGGAACACAAAAGCAGGACCAACCATCATACATTGAATTCCTTGACTAACAAAAGAGAAAGATTCATTCATTCAAATAAATATTTACAAACAAATGGGCCGGTTCTAAAGGGTTATTCAGTTAAGCCCGATGAGAGGGGATACAGCTGTGCACGTCATCATTAACAGACGTCGTTTAAAAGTGACGTTTGAGTGAACGAGGACATCCCAATTAATACCTGAGGACTCCTCTGTCCTCGCGTCACCTCCTCGCATCTGTCGCTCGCATCTTACGGAGGCGGAGCTAAGACGCAAGGAAGGGACGCGAGTGAGGGAAAGGAGGAGGTGAAATATTCAATTGAGACGAGCCTAAGGTGAAGGGAATGTCCTCTCCTGTCAGACTGAGAGACTCAGGTGAGCTAAAGGACTCTCTGAGTGTTTAGATAGTTAACTTTAGTCTAAGTTATCTCAGTGGGTCTCAAACGGTTTGGTCACGATTTATGTAAACAATTATTTCCGAGGCACACCTTCATATGATCATTATAGTTATAAAACAATAAGAGAATAAATGAAAAACATTTATGAAATACTATATGACAGTAAAACAAGAATACAGTTTAAAAGGGGAGTGATTAGTAAAATATCCATAAAGAAAAAGTACATCTGTTTCCAATCACAACCTTGTTACGCCACTGGTTGTTTGATATATTATTTATGTATACATTTATAATATCTGCATTTGGGCAGACAATATGAGGAAAATAATATAACAATATGCAAAATATTGCAATAAAAAATTAACCAAAACGAATAATATATATATATATATATTTATGTATATATATATATATTAAAGTGTACTTACTTGTGATTGCTACTAAAATGATACAAATTGCTTGTTGGAAAAATAAAAGGACATTATTTTATTGAATCTATCAAAAAATTGAACTGAACACAAAATAAACATTTAAAAAAAAAAAAAATTAACTGCAGTTGTTATTGAAAAGATGCAGTTTTTTGTGGTGTGTTTATGCCACTGCCATTTGACATTGCGATGACAGTGAAATACATGAATTGCAGCCCTATTCTTTGCATAATACATTTTCAATATTCATATTAACCTCATTCAGCTTTGTTGTCCTTTTTTTAATTCTGTTTTGGCTATTTCTATCCAAGTACTTAAAAAACATACTTCATTTACCCACTTTTTCTTGCCCAATAAAGCGTTTTCTAAAAAACAGCAAGTGCTGACTGTCACCGGCACAAATAACTACAATAAAGAGTTATAGTACTAAGACTAATTCACTGCCTTCTGAAGGTTTGACTCTATGCTCCTGATCATAAGGTATCAGGCGAGTGGGCCGAAGACCAGACCAGCAGGGCCAGCCTGGCTCCCAGAACCAGGGGGGGCAGGGTGAAGGGCGACCTGGAGACAAGAGGCCGGACCGGAGACCTCCTCGCGAGCGGCGCTTTGAGAAGCCGACTGAGGACAAGCCTGAGGGAGGTGGAGAGTTCTCCGTGGACAAGTGGGTAGCTGTGATGAATAACCAAGTGCACATATAGACAGGCTGATAAACTCAAGGCTGTCTGCCTCGGTCACACGACCATGTGGGGGTGTATGCATGGATTAAGTGTTTGATATAATCTGAGCTCACTTAACCTCAACATCACTGCCGTCTGTAATTTATGTGAAGCTTTGTACTGTCACAGGCATTAAGAGCAGATATGCATCTCTGTCACATGAGCTTAAGTGTTGATCACGACTGATACGGTTTATTTTGATGTTTGTGTCCATTAGGCCTTCTGGAGACAGGCCCCCCAGAGGGCGTGGTGGCGGACGGGGTGGGCGCGGTGGAAGAGGACGGGGCATGGGCCGGGGAGAGGGCTTCGACTCCCGCGGCAAACGAGACTTCGACAGACACAGCGGCAATGACAAATCGTGAGTCAGCCCTCAACTGAGACCTTAGCAGACCAGTGGATGTATAAATAGAAATGACTACTTACAAAAGCATCCCATTCTTGAATCTTTATTATCAAGAGGTTGCTTTTGAGCTCTTTAACGTCCAAATGTTGCAAGGACCAAGTGGCACATAAATAAGTGGTGATGTCAGGATTTTGTAGTCCGACCCGGAAGTTATCGTATTAGGTGGTCCCTCGTCAAAAACCAATGTGATTTTTGCATCAGATTTTGGAATTCTGCAAAAACTGTGGCAAACATACGTTTATGATTATTGCACCTATGGTAAAAGCAATCTTCAGAAGTAAAAAGCTAACGTAAGCCTATAAACAAACTACATCACGTCCACATGACTTCACATAATTCACCACCGCTAAGCTAAAGGCGGCTAATGTTCTGTGTTATGACTTTAGTCTTATTTAGCCACTTGTTAGCACAACATTTAAAAATGTCTTCAACCTGTGTTAAACACGGACCTTAAAGGTGGGGTAGGTAATTCACTTCAGAAACACTTTTTGTTATATTCCATGGAATGCTCTTAACATCCCGATAGCAATGAATACATTAAGTGCTTTGACAATAAATACATTAAAAAAATTCATCTGTGGAAGCCGTAATACTGTAAAAAGCACGACCAATCATTTTAGCCGGCCCGGGTAAAATAATTGGATGGCCGACCTGCCTGTCAGCCTTCCATCTGTGCACAGACTTATCTCGTGCCCTCATTGGTCATGTGCGCGTTCGTGTGTGTTGGAGGAGGGGCTCTGTAAGGAAGTGGCAGATTTTTTCCGGCTGTGTATTTTCAAATTCTAGCGATCTCGAGCTGGTTTCTCCAAAATTACCTACCCCACCTTTAAAGGTCACCTATTATGAAAAATACACTTTTTCATGTCTTTTATACATACACATGTGTCCCCTCTGTGTAAAGAGATTCTGAAAGTTTCAGGAAAAAATATTCGTTTTTGTCCTGATCCATTTATATAAAAACCTGTCTGAAAATGAGCTGATCAGATTTTGGCCACTTATGATGTCAGAACGTTTTTTTGGCTTGTGTAACCATTAGCCAATAACCAACCAAGGTAACCCCCCCCCCACCTTATCACCTGAATCTCCTCCTAGAGCACCATTGTGTTCTTTTTAACCAAATATCTCTCAGAGGGGCGTGGGGAGGGGCTCCTTATTTTCATCTAAAGTAACAGACAGAGAATCAGCACTTTTGAAACGGGGCTGAAACAGAGGGGATTCTGGGATGCTGCAATGATCTGTTTGGTGTTTGGAGCCAAACACTTCAGAGACATGTTTTGTATATATCTGAGAACTATAGTATATTGATGAAAAACAGTATAATAGGGAACCTTTAATCCAGGTCTCTAACCAAAAACATGTTAAAAGAAACATAGATTTTAAGACGAGTGGACAGGAAGTGGTCAAATGTTAACTCATTCCTGGGTTTTAGGACTCATTTCTGCACCACTCCATAGTCTATTGGCAGTTGTATCTTACACAATAAGGTACATGTACATACTTTGTATTGGATATGCATTGAACAGTCCAACCCAAATGGCATCTTGACAAAACGTTCTTTAATGACATCACAGTGACAGGGTTTTCGTTATCCGATAATTACTGGCTATTTTTTACCCAGAAAATCTGTTAAATGCACACATATTTATATCCCTCCGCTCATAATGTCCGCTTTGGTATACATTAAAAACCTGATGCAGAGGGGATGTGCTGAAGATTATATATTTCTACTGGCTTCACAAACACACAGCATTGGGTTGTGTGAGTCACAGACGGTGAGCTTTTGTCTTGGGATTGTGTGGGATTGTTTGTTCAGTTTTTGGACCGAGTACAGCGCTGTGAAACTTTTTCACAGAGTTTGTGTAATATGGGTTAGACTGCAATTGGATTTGCAAGGGATAAAGTTTCTTAGCAACTGCCAGCTGGTACTGGTAAGATAAATGCAGGGAGAAAAACCAGGCTGCCAATATTTGCAGTCAATAATTATTATTTGTATTCATATAAACGAAAGACTGGATTGTTTGTAGAGCAGATCTCAGTGGCGCAAACCTACCACTTGCATTGCGTTGTGATAAAAGAACGATGATGTCATTCTTCCTATGCCTGCTGATCAGTTGGTTTAGGTCAATAAACACACATCATATTTGAGCAGAATATTCACCATGTGTCAGATTATTAAAATCTTCCAGGAACCAATTATTTTCTAATGCAGATACCCCGCTCCGTTAAGCTTCCTTTGAAAGCCAAATTGAGGTCAAGGGTTGTTGTTGCTGGTAGAATTGACTGTTCATTGTGGGCTGAGTGTATTTTTAGGCTGCATAAATCAGTGTGTGTTTTCTCTCCGTTTGCTCCAGCAATCAGAAAATCGAGGAGAAGCGCAGCGGCAGCGGCTCGCACAACTGGGGCGCCGTGAAGGATGAACCGAGGTGAGGTTAAAGAACGGACACACGGCCTGCTTGTCTGTTCTGTCTGCAGGATGATAATGCACATGCGATATGTGTTCATATGATGCTTGCTGCGCGTTTCAAAGAATCCAGTTTTAACGGGTGTATTATTTACTTTTGGGTCAATGCATATGTGATCATTCTATAAAGTTCACAATGAGTTTTAACTTCAGTAACTATTGTAAGTGTTTAATACAATTTGATCAAATATGTTCATCACTAGGGTTGCAATGGAAATATCCAAGGTGGGAACTTTCCATGGAAAATAAAAGGGTTATCTGCTCGGGCTGTATTTATATAATGTGACGACATAATCCATGAATTAGCTTCATGAAAACATTATTAATGTGCTATGTGGTGAGTTAGCCATTTAACAAGCTAAAGTAGCCATAGACACATTTATTGCTCTGTCATTATGAAGTAAATGTTATGAGTAATAATAACACTATAAGGGTTTAGATTGGTTCCCCATTAGCCCCTTGTTGTTGAAAAGTTGTCTTTTAAACTTTAACTAATCGTAAAAAGTTATTTGAAAATGTAAGCTTACAAAAACTGGGGCCATGTTTAAACTTAAAGTTTAAAAGTGAACAACTTTAACAATAAATAATGAAGGGAAATGTTTCAAACTCCTCAGTTGGTTACATCCCTCAGTGATTCTCATACATTGATTTAATTGTGGCGGGCCGCCACAATTAAATATCGTCCGCCACAAATGGATCTCATAAAAAAAAAATATATATATTCTTTTTTTTTTTTTTTTTTTTTTTTTTTTTTTCTTCTTTGGTGGTCTAATAGTGAGGTGGGCTGATGATAGTGAGGTGGGCTGATGATCGGAAGGTTGCGAGTTTAAATCCTGCCTGGAACACCACTACTAGTGTGCCCTTGAGTAAGGCACTTAGCCCTCGGTTACTCCAGGGAGAATGTCCCTGTAATTGGTCATTGTAAGTCGCTTTGGAATAAGGCGTCTGCTAAATGCCTAAATTGTAAATTATATTTTTGGGAGAATAAACCCCACAGATTCTCAACTCCGGTGTGTCTCACTCATTAACAACGCAACACAGAGCAACAAGAACGTTGTCTACAGTAGCCATGAACTCGCATGTATTATCTTATTTGAAGGGGGGGTGGATGCGTGGACCACCCGAATAGGTTAAGGGGCCTTTGGCTTTTCTTGCCGGGGTGCCCCCACAAATAGAATCAAATTCTGTGGGAAACACTGTCCCTCATAGTAACAGCTTGCTTGATAAACTAGCAGAAGGTGTAAACAGGTTATAAACGGTGTACTTTGCTTTAGGCTTCTTTTTAATGCAGACTGAATAACATTAAATATGAAAAAGATATTCACTCCAGCTTTACGATCAAAACTCATCAGAAAGCATTTAGTGTTGTGGCTCAGGGGGAAAATGTGCTGATCTACCAATCAGAGGTTCAGAGGGTTGAGGGTTGACCCCCCCCCCCCTGTAATCAACATGTTGAAGTGTCTTTGGGTAAGATATCGACCCCCAAACTGCTCCTGTAGTCATATCTACAGTATTGAAGCGTATGCAAGTTGCTTTGGATAAAAGTAAGTAACATGTAACTTAATGCATGCTTTGACCAAAACATGCAATAAGAACTAGCGATTCAACACATTGTACATGATAGGCTAAGGGGCGGGACATCTCTAAGGGGTTGACCAATCACAACAGAGCCGGCCAGCTAACCAATCAGAGCAGACTGGGCTCTGGTTTCAGACAGAGGGTGAAAAGAGGTGCTGCAGCACAGGCAGTATGAGAACAATAAAGAGCTTTTTGAACATTAAAGCATGGAGACACGTCAGAGAAGAGACACTAAATACAAATGATCAACATGGAAAGGAACATCGGGCTCCTTTTTTAAACTATTTTTAGATGTGTGCAAAATTCCCAAGCTTGACTTGCCCTGGAAACGTTCCAACTCTTTGCAGCCCCAGGCAGTTCAGAGTAAAGAGTCTATACGTGCGTTTGTGAGCTACTTTAGTAAAAGATCATGTCTGAGCTGCAGGCAGTATATCACTATTGACAAAGTGGCTGTGTGTGTTCCCAGTGAGGCTGAACCGACTGCTGCTCCAGAGACCACCCCCGAGGGAGAGGAGAGCGCACCTGCTGGCTCTGAGAACAAGTGAGTACCTGTCTGATGTTCACCTAATGGATCTCCCCTGTTTAACGACTCCAGTTTAAAGGCACTGTTATGTCATCGCACTGTGGTGTGTTCCTTCTGATTCTAGTAGTTCTGTGCCACAGACCGTATCTCTGCATGTGCAATTTCATCACAAAGCTTTTGTGCAAATGGGATCACCGTGGTCTCTGACCCCCTGGCCTCAGGATTAGAGAGCATGCATAGAGCTAAGAGGATTGTCAGGTTTGAGCTCTAACGTCCCACATTGTTGTGTGTTGGCTTTCCAGGGAGAACGAGGTCGAAGAGGTGAAGAACGACGGCCCAAAAGAGATGACCCTGGACGAGTGGAAGGCCATGCAGGACAAGGAGCGCACCAAGGTGGAGTTCAACATCCGGAAGCCCAACGAGGGGGCTGACAGCCAGTGGAAGAAAGGATACGTGCTGCACAAGTCCAAGAGTGAAGACGTGAGTGCGCTGATGAGGTTTCAGCTCCATCACTGTGACCTCTAACGTCTCTTCTGTCTCAAATGTTGTTTTTCAGAGTGTAAACTTACCATTTGAGATTTATTTTAAACGTTAAACCGGTCAGCAGTAACTGGTGCTTCTACATTTGAACCATAATGGTTTTTTAAATGTCTAGAATGTAAAAAAACAACAGGAGATATAGAATGAGCCTACATTGGAAACTTACCCACATATTAACGGTTAAATGAAGGCAGCATAAAACATTTAGTTTTATTATGGTATGTTGTAAGCACTATGAGAAATAAAGAGCTTTTTGAACATTAAAGCATGTAAACATGTCTCAGTACAGACACAAAGTACAAATATGAACCTGAAAATGTGAATATTACGTCCTTTTTAAACCATTTAATTGTGTAATAATCATGATAATCACACATTTTAAAATGCTAATATTTACTTGTATTCGTACATTTATGATGTTAAGATTTTGTGTTTATTTTCTTTTTAACACGTTTCCAGATGAATCACAAGCTTTGACAGCCCTACTTATTTATACATAAGCAACGTAGTTATAGATTTAGTTTCTGTAAATTGAGCCATTTATTTTGTATAATTGTGTGTTTGAAGGCCGCTAATTCAGAAGCTTTTGTAATAGATAAAGATGCTCACAGATGTATTGACACTGTTAGACCTGGTCTGGTGACTCCTGCAGCCTTTCTGTCCCTCCAGCTGATCTGACATGATATTAATGAAGCTCCTTTGTTGTCTTTGTGTTCCAGAGGCCTGTGGGGGCTTTGATCGACGCCGCAGAGACAGAAGTGGAGCCCGCCCCCGTGTTCACCAAGGTGCCTGCAGCTCTCACTGCCCTCCATCCACACAGTCCATCAAACATCAGTGGAGCACTCTGTGTAAACCCAGCTGTTAGACAGCTGAGGGGTCCAATGCACCTCCAAATATTCTAATGGGATAGTGTGGCTGCACCTTTTGGAACAAAACCAATTGAGCAACAGCTGTTTTTATGACGCATAGAAGCGTCGGCCATTCACCAGTGGGGTATCTACTGACGTATTTGATGTCGTAGAGCAAAATCTCTTAAGGTAGTACTTAAAGCATCTCACCAAAACGCTTTCAAAAAAAGATTGAGTTCTAGACCGGAATTGGTCAAATGCTTCCTAATTTCAGGTTTTCAGGACTCATTCAGCACCACTATTGCGATTCCGATAAAATGTAGAAAATAATTGTGCAGCTCTAATTTGAATTAAGGTGGCTCCAGATGAATCAAGAATCTAAATATAGTGTTGGTGCGTACTTTAACTACGCTGCTATGGACACTAGTGTACATAGTTTTACTGTAATATATTCCTCTTCATCCGTTTATAAGTGACTGTTATTTTTGACTGTTGTGCCTTTTTTATATATATATTTTTTATTGATACCTCTTAATGTGGGAATTTGTAAATATGTGTCTGTTTTGATTATGTAGGTATTTTTAGATACTTTAACTTATATTTCTCGGGATTGTGAGAAACAGCATTTCGATGTCCCCGTCTGTGTCTCACACACACAGAAGATAGACAATAAAGTTGACTTCGACTTTTGACTGAAGCCAGAGAACACAAACTAATGTCATTCCTCGGTGTGTACTGACGGCTGTGATTTCTAACCTGTGCGTCATGTGACTCCAGCCGCAGGGCCCCCTCGACGAGTCCAGTGACCACCACTTCCGCAAGCCCGCCAACGACATCACATCCCAGCTGGAGATCAACTTTGGAGACCTGGGCCGCCCCGGCCGCGGGCGTGGGGGGGCTCGTGGAGGCAGGGGAGGCCGTGGGGGAGGAGGAGGTGGAGGTGGAGGAGGTGGTGGTGGTGGAGGAGGTGGAGGAGGAGGTGGAGCTGGTGGAGCTGGAGGGGGTGGCGGCGGCGGCGGCGGCAGGCCGGCACGCGGAGGAGGACGTCCTGAAAAGGTAACAATAACAGCTGCTGTCCCACAGGGGATTTAGATAGTGAGCGTGGAGCAGTGACTTGGAAAAGCTGCTGTGGAAACACTGAGGCTGAAATAACAGAGCCGTGAACAGGCTGACCTGCTGTCAGCGCTCAGGGGCAACTGGGTGGTGATAGTGCTTAGACGTAAGAATTACAGTTTATAAAAAGTAAAAATAACCAAAAGCTGCCACAAATGCATCCTCATTTCATATTTATTATTTAATGTAGAGTGTTACTTTCTCATTTAATAAAAAAAAAAACCTTGTTAGCAATATTGTACAAAAACAAGAAACGAGTAAGAATCCCAAAGAACGAGAAGCCCTGATCTCAGTGCTACGATAAAGTCAGAGTAAAACACCCAGTTTATTAATAAGTAGGCATGGCTTTTTTTTCATTCTCCGAATTCACCTTTCTTTCTCAGTCATTTTGGGCTTTTTTGCCATTTAGTTTCAACTGTACCATTACTGTGGTTGTTCTGCTACCTGGGCATAGCTAATATAAGAGAATGTTTTGATTTGTAAGCGATTTTGTTGAGTTGCATCTTAGCAAATTCCTCTGATGGCCGACTGATGTTGATGCTGAAAGCAGTGAAAGCTAGGCCGATGGGGAACAAACTACACAGACGGTATCATATTTGTATGGCCATTACATTGGGCAATCAACCTTTACTTCGTAATGTTAAAGGTCACCTATTATGCAAAATCCACTTCTTCATGTCTCTTCTACATAAACATGTGTCCCCTCTGTGTAAAGAGATTCTGAAAGTTTCAGGAAAAAAGATTCTCTCTTTTTGTCCTGATCCATTTATATAAAAACCTGTCTGAACATGAGCTGATCAGATTTTGGCCACTTTATGATGTCATAACGATGTTTTGGCTTGTGTAACCATTAGCCAATCATCAACCAAGGTAACCCCCCCCCCCACCTTATCACCTGAATCTCCTCCTAGAGCACCATTGTGTTCTTTTTAACCAAATATCTCTCAGAGGGGCGTGGGGAGGGGCTCCTTATTTTCATCTAAAGTAACAGACAGAGAATCAGCACTTTTGAAACAGGGCTGAAACAGAGGGGATTATGGGATGCACAATCTGTTTGGTATTTGGAGCCAAACACTTCAGAGACATGATTGTATATATCTGAGAACTATAATATATTGATGAAAAACAGTATAATAGGGGACCTTTAAGTTAAAGCAAAATGTGACCTTTAGCAACTTTAATAATAACTTTTCTGCACACAGAGTTGAACAAACACAGCAAGTGAACCTAAACATTGAAGTTGCTGAATGTTTTTTTTTTAACTAATATTATAAAAGAATGTATTTAATGGACTGATTACAGCTCTCCTAATGTGTCCTGGTGTGTCTGTGTTTCTCCCCAGGCTGGCGGAGTGTCCGTCCCCAACGTGGACGACCCTGAGGCCTTCCCCGCTCTGGCCTGAAGGCCCCCCCTCTTCCACCAGCAGCCCCCCCCCCCCCCCCCATCAGCCCCTCCGGGCCCCTCCTCTACGAGGCTTGCATGCTTACCACATCTTCAAATATATTAAAAAAACAGAGAAAAAAAAAGATTTGAAATGACTTAAAAGAGACTGTCATCCCATACCACTCGCACCACCAGAGGACTCTAAATTACCTGTTTTAAAGGAGAACAAAAGACAAAAAAAAGGCGGGGAAAGGACCTCTTGTTACACTGAAGTTTTGTATTTAGGAACATGAAAGCAGGGATGTTTTCATTCTTTATTTTTTTCTTTTCAGAGATGATACGTACTTCATTGATATTTTTTTGTGCTGCTTAAATTAATGCATTTTTGCAATTTAGATTGAAGTGTGTGTATCTTCCCCCCCCCCCCCTCCCTTCGGAAGCTTTTGTGATTTTTATGCCCCTCATGACTTCAGCTCAGTATTACGGGGTGATCTTAGAAAAGACTTTGTACTGGAGTGTTTTCCTCCCAGTAATACACACTGATGTGGTAGCACTACATTACATAGGAAATGTGTTATATATAGATATAGATATATACTACCATACTATTGGAGTATGGCTTAAACTGCATTTAAAGTGTCATCGCTCTGATTCTGAATACCCATCCCCTTTTTTGCAAGGCACAAATTCTGGATGGGTAACCAGGCAGTGACTTTAAAAGCTTGGTATTTTTCTGCTTGTTGTGCAGTGAAGGTAAATGCCTCTATTCAATTTGTTTGATAGCTTGCCATTATTTGGTGCACCAGTGGTTAGTGATGCTTTGTTCCCCCTGATCCAGATGTGCTACCTGTGTTTTCAGGGTGTCCCACGGCCCAATGTGTATATTTTTTTTAGGTTGGTCCTCGTAGGTCATACAGACTGCTAATGTTACTTCTGGACCACTAAGCAAATATTGTATTTTTGTTGTTAAGGATATGTGTGTGGCTGTGAGTGTGTGTGTGCAAAGAATGAATGAGTGAATTTGACAGCTAGTTACTTAGAATTGAAGTACTCCTCTCACCTGAGGTAGTTCATACTGTCTTTTGAGAAGTGATGGTAAAGATTTAAAGGCCTGAGTCCACATAGCGCTTTTTTTCTGAGTTCTCCACCTTTTTTTTAACAGTCATTTCAGTTGTATTTTATAATATTTACCGATTATGCTTTTGGTGGTTTTCCCTTTCCTGTAGTGTATACCATTGGACTGTAACTTAGTGACATCATTACGTAACAGTCGTGCTTCTATTGGCTAGTGCTCCGACACTTTGTACGTGATAGGCTAAGGGGCGGGACACCTTTTAGGTGGTTGACCAATCACAACAGAGCCGGCCAGCTAACCAATCAGAGCAGACTGGGCTCTGGTTTCAGACAGAGGCTGAAAAGAGGTGCTGCAGCACAGGCAGGAGGAGAAAAATAAAGAGCTTAATAGGGCCCCTAACTGAACCAAAAAGTGAATTTGTTGGAGCAGCTTGGCAGGTCGGTCTTAACTGTTGAATAGAATAGAATAGAATAGGGGAGGGATGAAACCCTCTTTAATGGTCACACATGCAGAGCACACAGCACACACACAGTGAAATTTGGCCTCTGCTTTTAAACCCATCCTAGTACAAGGAGTCTAGTACTAGGAGCAGTGGGCAGCTATTGTACAGCGCCCGGGGAGTGGGGGGGAAGGGGGGTGTCCGGTGCCTTGCTCAAGGGCACCGGCCACCAGTGTTGCTGCCACTGGCTGAGTATTGTACTTTAATATGTACAACATCTACGAGTGCTGTACTTTTTTCGCATTATACAAATCATCCTTCTCGCTCTACAGCTGTCAGACCGAGTGCTGAAGCTCATTCGGCCAAAGTGTGAGAGTTAGAATTATCCAGACGGTTTTAGTTGTGAAAAAAACAATATATTTTCAGGCAAAAGCGCTCTGTGGACACAGTGCCCGAGTGAGAAACATAGACTGTGGACACAGTGCCCGAGTGAGAAACATAGACTGTGGACACAGTGCCCGAGTGAGAAACATAGACTGTGGACACAGTGCCCGAGTGAGAAACATAGACTGTGGACACAGTGCCCGAGTGAGAAACATAGACTGTGGACACAGTGCCCGAGTGAGAAACATAGACTGTGGACACAGTGCCCGAGTGAGAAACATAGACTGTGGACATATCTTTGCTCTTAAGAGCATCTCGAATGTCTTTGAAGCACTTGGTTTTACCGGCACCAGTTCTCTAAAGATTGTTTCCCCTCTTCTGTAAACGTTTTATTTTTATTTAACCAGCACCAATGCATAATTTGTCTGAAACAAATGTCATTTTTGGAACAATCTGGAGTACAGAATGTAATATAGGCTAACGGAGCTTTCGCCCCCTGTGTCAGCATATCCACCGAGTGTTTATATTTGAGTGAAGCGGGTATATTGAACATTGGGTGGGGGTTATTCAAAAGGAGTGAATTGAAAGCTTTACATGCTGTGCTCTGCAAAGACTTGCTGGCGATGCACTGATACAGACGGCTGGAGCCTTTCCTTTTTTCTGTTTGAGCCACATGACAGTGAAACTTTCTCTGCAAACATCCCTGTTCTAATAAATCGCTTTAGAGGTGTTACATGTATTCTGCCAATGGCTGTTTGGGTTGTTTAAAATCATTACTGTGATTTTAAAGGTGTAAAAAAAACGTGCTTTGGACTCTCGTCATTGCTTGAAGTGGCAACCATCGTAGTGTTATTTAAGCTTCTAGTTATTTTCGGTACAACTAACTAAAACTGAGGCATTTTACTAATACATCATCCTTCATTCCATGGCTTTAATGTTGATGTATCTTTTAATTTGTACCGAGAAGATGTTTATAATGTTAATGTATAAAAATTGATTGGTTAAATTCACCAGCACCACACACTATTGCCTCCAGAATGACCATAACGTTTAGTCGTATTACCTGTAAATGTAACCATTCTTTGCGTACAGTTACATAAAATGATGTTTTGTCAATAATAGTGAGATTTTTAAACCAAAGTCGCCGCTTTGAAACAGGCACCGGTGATAATGTGCAACATAAAAATTGAGGCTGTCCCGAGTAAGAACATTTTAAACAAACTCAATAAAAGTACTCCATTAACTGTTTTTTATATGTAAAGTGCAATTTTTAAAAGCAGGAATTACATGTATTTCGAGAAATGACTCTCCAAAAGTAACTTCAGGCGTGTTTTAAAGTATTTAAACTAAAACAGTGTTAAATACTCCATTGTTTTATTTATACTTTAGTTGAACAATATTTTTTTAACAATGCATTTTGGACAGTCTTAAGGAAATGTGGTAAAATATGGATGAAATAGTTAAAAACCAACAAAGAAATAAGTTTGTTGAATAGAATTATGAATTCAAATTTTTTTTAAAATAGCAAACGAGAACCCAGACAAGACTTGATATTAGACATTTTGCATGAATTAGTAATTTTGTTTAATTTATTTATTACAGGTTTTCATGTAATAGTGTTTAAAGATATGTTTGTTTAAGTATATTGATAATTGCAATGACTGTAACATTTGGCTAAAATGTATTGTTGGAGAAATTAGGATGGCAGAATTTTAATAAGAAATCGTGTTCTTTAGGTAAAATGTCCTCACCAAAATATGATATGTACGTATTGAAAAAACAATGTTCTATCTAGCGTTTTAACTATAGACTGTAAATAAAAAAAAGTATAAAGTCTGTGTTTTTTTATCCCCCTGAATGTTCAAAGTATGATGTTGAGTCAAGATTATTCCCTCTCCGTTTCCGTCTTCACCGATTTCGTCTTTCAGATAGTTGTACGCATGCGCAGTAGAACTCGTGGGCTTCCGTTAGAAACGTCCACAGTGTTCATTACATAAACAATGGCTGAGCCGCACAGACGGCGACATGAGCTCGGAGACAGAAAGCCGTCACCTGCACGACCATCCTCCGCAACAAACACAGCCACTTCCGGTGACAGCTACTCGGTGTATCTGAGGCTGTTGGCTGCGGGGTTTTACGGAGTCAGCTCATTCCTCATCGTTATTGTCAACAAAAGCGTCCTCACCAGCTACAGGTAAAGGGGCAAAGTTCAAGTTACCCTAGCGGGCTGCGTTTCGGACACTTTATGAGCAGTGACAGCAGGGGGAAATACCTTTATTTAGAGACATACTGGACTCAGGAAAAAGTCTTCCTTACACATCTGTCTTATAACATTAATGTTACAAGACCTGCAGTGGAACGCCAAGTACAATATTTAGAATATAAGTATTCATTGGAACATACATTCATTCAATGTTAAGGAAGGCTAAACATCAAAACTGTTTTTAATATGTACTAAGTTACTGTATACCTACATAAATACTGAAGCAACATGTCCCCCGACCCCCCTTCACTTCAAACTGTACAATCTTCAGAGAAAAATCTTCAAAATGTCAACTACCGGTATATCATCTTCAGATATCTCTAAACACTATAGGAAAAATGTGTTAAACATATTATTTGTGTAATAGTATGCATTTTACAATGTAAACATACTCTATTAATGTGATACTCCTGCATTGGAAATTTCATGAAGCAAAGTATGTACATTTGTTCTTATCCTAAAGAAAAAAGTTGAATTCATAAGCAGTTAAACGCTTTCCCTGTCCACTCACTCACAGGGTTTTGGTCTGCTGTTACCACTGAGGCATAGTCAGACTCAGTTCAATGACTTTATGACTATGATGTACTAATGCTGTTACTGGTAACAGCAACTAGGTTTTGCCATTTACTGTTTTCTCTAATATTAAATTGTTGTCTGTTAATTGCTAAAAGTTACATAAAAAGTTGCTAAACTAAATGTAAGTAAAGGTGTTCATGCAGCAGAATGAATCTTTCAGTGTTACTGAACAACAATGTGCATTGATGTGTTAGCATGTTGTATGTGGCCAAAGTGCAGCTTATTCATCACTTTACCCTATGTTTGTTTAAGAAACAAATATTTGTATTGCATAACAGGTCGGTCACGCCTTTTTTAAAGTGAACACCAAATGGCTTTTATGTTAAGTATTCAAATACAAGTACCTCTATTAACATGGTATTTTAGTACAGTTATTTATCAAATTCACTTTCAATCACTGTTACTACTTTATTTTCAAATGCAACAAAGCAATTCTAGTATAGAATGCAAAACGCTAAATCTAAAAGTCTTTCATTTCCTTTTTGTGCCTAAAACAGTTGCATTATTAACTTTTTTCCCTAAATCATACCATTTTGTACGTGTTTGACAGATTTCCATCGTCAACATGTGTCGGACTCGGCCAGGTAAGTGTGTCTTTATTCTGGTCACAGACACTTCCTGTCCTCCTGAACAGACCCTGACTGTGTGTGGGTGCTTCCATATATCTGCAGATGTTGGCTACAGTCGTAGTTCTGAGGATCGGGAAGGCGCTTGGCATTATCTCCTTTCCAGATACGGATCTGAGTATACCTCGCAAGGTGACACTGTGAATTAATTCTCTGTGATACACAAGAATACGATCAAAACTACTGCTTTCAACATTTCTTTTGTCCTTCCAGATGTTTCCACTGCCTCTACTGTATGTCGGGAATCAGATATCAGGGCTGTTTGGGACACAACGACTCAAGTTAGAGCTTTTATTTAAAATATGAATGATATGAAACCTCTTTTCCTTAATAAGAAATCGCAAATTAAACCACATTTTCCCTTTTCCTAGTCTACCCATGTTTACAGTTTTGAGGAGGTTCAGTATTTTCCTCACCATGGTGTTTGAGGGACTCCTGCTGAAGTAAGTTTCCTCATTAATATTTTACAAGATTGTTCTTTCACCCGCCAATAAATAATAAAAAAAATGGTTTCCTCTCCTGGCAGGAAAACGTTCTCTACGTCAATCAAGATTACAGTGTTTACCATGATATTCGGGGCTTTTATTGCTGCAAGGTAAGATATCCACAATATACGGTGGCCAAAAGGTGTCAACACGCAACAATGGCCCAAAACACGTCCATTAGGAGAAACGCGCTACACTTTCAGAAACGATGCGTTGTGTTTTCAGCTTCATGCTGAGTTTTTTTACTAGCAGCGTTTTGTTTATGCAACGCTTTTAGTAAATGCTGCGCATGTTTTGCAATTTGGTGAAGATGTTTCTTCATTTGCATGTGTTTTGGGCACATTTGTGTTTTTATATTTACATTGTTTTTGAATGTGCAGCGTGTTCCTCCTAATGTATGTGTTTCAGGCCATTGTAACGCGTTTTCACGAGTCGGCCACATACCAGTACACAAAACACTGGTATTATCCGATTCACAGTGTCTTATTCTCACATGTTTTTGTAGCGCCGATTTAGCTTTCGACATTGAAGGATACATGTGCATAATGCTGAACAATGCTCTGACAGCGGCCAGTGGGGTGTATACGAAGCAGAAACTTGATTCCAAGGTGAGGAGCTCCTAGTTGTACCCCCCCTCACTGTGTGCGATGATTGTTTGCTGCTTTGTTTGTGAAGGATTGTTCTGCTGTTCCCATAGGAGCTCGGCAAATATGGGCTTTTGTACTACAACGCTTTAATCATGATATTCCCCACTGCGGCATACGCTTACTTCTCAGGGGACCTGCAAGTGGTAAGGATTGCTTTTTTTATCGCAAATAAATTCATGTTTATATATTTTTATTTTAGTTTGGGACAACTAAAGCGGATGTCTTCTCTGTGTGTTTGTGTGCAGGGCTTGGAGTTTGATGGATGGTCTGATCAGCTGTTTGTGATGCAGTTTGTACTCTCCTGCATCATGGGGTAAACTCTTTATCCATCATTTGTTTATTCATTAGGCCTGTCAAATAACTACTTTTGTCGGACGATATATTGTCGAATAACGAATAATTGACATGACAATGTTGTTTTTATTTTAAGACCATTTTATGCTATGGATATTATGGTATAGTAGCATAATAATTCAAGTACCCCCTTTCAAAGGGCAAATAACTTGATAAGAACATATTCTGTCAGTGGAATTTGAATGGGAAAAAAATATTAGAATTTCTTTAATTAAAAATATATAAATAAAAATAAATCCACAAAAACAAAACAATAATGAAATGGACTCTTGACTTTGACTTTTTATAACTGTTTGTGACATCCAATAATATGAGTTTTTGTAACTGTTTAACCTGTTAAGCCCTGAGCCTGTTTTTCAGGTCTCAGGCTCGAAAATGACATTCCCAGAACAAATGACCATATATTCCCTTCTAAAAGGGTTAAATTAATAATCTTTTTACTCAAAGTAATGATAAACCTGTGAGTTGGATGTAGAAAAGTCAGAATCAATATAGATGTTTTTTATTTTAAAGAAAATTCAGATTTTACATAGTAAAAAACTGTAAATTATAGTGTCCGTCCAAAGATTCTTTTTTACTTATAGTGAAAACCACCCTTGGATGATGGGTTAGTAGACTAAAAGCTTTAGGAATCCAAAGTACAACATATAATAAGTACCCTGTATCAAGATTGATGCAAAACAAGTGACATTTGACCTTTTTAAAGAGATTTAGCAAAAAGAAACCACTTCTGGGGTCATTTGGGTGGATTTTCCATATCTCTGGCTTCCCTTGCTCGATTTTGATGGTTGACACCTCTTTCTGACCGTTGGAGCCAATAGAATCGAAGGGGGAGTCCCCCACACACACGTTGTGAAGAGAAAAGGTGGGGGCTTCGCGCATGTAATTTTCAATCAGAGTGAACCTATCTCTAGCTTTGACATCTGGAAACGGAAAAGCAGTTTTAATGCTTATGGATTATCAGAAATCATTTCAAAGGGACACAGACACATTAGATTAACCTATGGATTAACTTCAGCAGCGTTTTTATCATTTTAATGCCATTGAAGACCACTTTGGAGAGACTACAGAGCCAAGGTAAAAATGTTAGCATTTTTAGCTACCTAGCGTCACCTGTTTTGATGTCCGTTTTTGCTTATAACGTCGCAAATACGTATAATTCAGTGGTAATGTCGGTGTCAATCGATTCTGTGTCACCTCACGATGTGAATTGATGTGTTGGATGTGGTGAAAAGATAAATAATAAGGTTTTGTGAGTGATTTTCGGTGCAGTAAGGTGTTAGCATTTTTCGCTCGTTGCTAATTCAGAGGCTCAGTGTTAGCATTGTGGGTTTTCTTTTAAAAAAAATTAAAAAAAGATCAGTTAGATGAGTTTCTTCCCGTTACATGGATATAAAACATTCATAGTTTTATTAAATGAACATGCCCTCAGACACTGTTTCCTGCAAGATGTTGCGGCATTGCCCCGGTACCGGGGTCTCTCGGGCTTAACAGGTTAACTTGTTTTTAAATACTTTATTCTTACTTTTTTATGGCCTTTTTATGACGTCCTTTGGATTGACCTTTTACAACATATTTACTATGACCTTTTATGCCTTTTTGTATTTTGTATGCTATGAAGTACTATAGATTGCATTTTTAATGACTTACAAAAAACAGAAAAGTAATAGTATTCTATTTCAAGAATATTCATATTCATTACATCACCGGTTATTAAAAGGGTTTCTGTGCAGGAATCCTGGTCAATATTCCTTACTTTTCGTCATGTCAATATATCACTCAATAAGTTTCTAACATAATTATTGTAGCCTTTAATAGAGTATATCCCACAATGCAGCTCTTGTCTAACTCCTCTATGTGTCTCACAGCTTCATTTTAATGTACTCCATCATGCTGTGCACGCAGTACAACTCAGCACTCACCACCTCCATCGTGGGCTGTATTAAGGTAGGTCTTTCACCTGCCCCCCACCCTCCCTCCCCCCATACCCAGAAATACAGATGTGTGTAACGACTCTCTCTCTGACTCCTGCAGAATATCCTTGTGACGTATCTTGGGATGGTGTTCGGAGGAGACTACATATTCAGCTGGACTAACTTCCTAGGTTTGAACATCAGGTACGACACCCAGGACTGAAACAGTGCTGTCATGGCGCTGGCTGCTGTTTCTGTCTGACGTCTGTTTCTCTTTGTTTCCCCAGCATCGCAGGCAGCCTGGTGTACTCCTACATCACTTTCACACAGGAGCAAACAAGTAAGAGGTTTTAAATATGTAAATAAACACCTGTGAAAAATATGCAGCTTAATCAAATGTGTTGTTTCATCAAACTTTACAGAAAAGGCGTAATCCCCCGAGTCTCGACCCGACCAGAAGAACCACGTCCAGAAAACAGAAATATATATTTTCTGTTTTGTAACCATGCTGTCCAAATATTTCACAAACATTTATAAAGTATTCTGTTAGCATACATTTTTAAATAATGTTATCTAATTGTACTTTATTTTTTAATTAAGACCAAGTGCCTTCAATTGTTTTTATAATTATATTTTGTGATTTATGAGCATTTTTATATTTGACAAATAAACTTAAAGAATATATTTGAGTTTTTTTTAATGCCATTCCATTTCAATACTCACTTTTGAGTTATTGGCCACCCTTGTCATTTCCTTTTCTTTATACTGGCTTTAATTTGGCCTTTCTGAACGTGAGATTACATTCCTAGGTTGAAATGAGGGGGGGCTCGATGGTGTTATTTTCCAATCCTACTTTTGTTGCTGGGACAAAACACTGTGAATGAAAACATACAGACAGCTTCTTAACGCTTTTATGACATACTAAACTATGATTTTTTATGACAATTTTTGACATAATATATAACTACTTTTCAATATTTTTTGAAATACTATACTAGGATTTTATTTCCATATTTTTTAAATACTATACTATGACTTTAAAAAATATATTTTTAGAAATACTTTACGATTACATTTTCGACATTCTTTTCAATTACGTTTTGACCACTATATTATAATTATGATGATGAGTTTTTATGACCTACTACATACTCTGACTTTCCTATGACCTCATGACATATGTTCTGTCTTAGCTGCTCTGCTGTTCTGTATGACATATTCTGCAGGGGACCTGGAAGTGCTCCCTCCATCCTTTCTTGATTACTTGGCACCTGTTGGCCAGCTGTCAGGCTCCGCCCACTTCCTCTGTCTCTCCCAGGCAGCATTGTAATCAGCCATCACTTCCTGTTCCTAACCTTTGCTTGACTTTATGAAATAAACTTTGTTTTGCACATTATAGTTCTATGCCTCCTATCATGTTTCCTCTGAGCCGGGGTAATGTAATATAACGTAATGTAGCGTAATGGCTTTTTTTGTTACCATATTAAATAATTTTGTTCTATGTTATTTACGTTATTACATTACATTGCATTTAGCTGACGCTTTTATCCAAAGCGACTTACAATAAGTGCATTCGACCAAGAAGATACAAACTAGAAGAAAACAGAATCATATAAGTACATTAGGTTTCATAGAGCCAAAACATTTTAAGTGCTACTCAACTGGCTTTAGATAAGCCTGTCCTTTGTTAGTATGCAAGTGCTTTGTTAGTATATAAGTGCGTTTTTTTTTTTTTTTTTTTTTTTTTTTTTCATTTTATTGCTCGAAGTGGAGTCGAAAGAGATGAGTTTTCAGTCTGCGCCGGAAGATGTGTAAGCTTTCTGCTGTCCTGATGTCAATGGGGAGCTCATTCCACCATTTTGGAGCCAGGATAGCAAACCGACGTGTTTTTGCTGATGGGAACTTGGGTCCCCCTCGTAGTGCGGGTGCAGCGAGCCGTTTGGCTGATGCAGAGCGGAGTGCATGTGCTGGGGTCAGGGCCGGCCCTTGGCATAGGCAGTATAGACGAATGCTAAGGGCGCATCCACCTATGAAAACCCAAAAAATCTTCCCCTAGAGGAATTTAGGTCCACCCCCCACTTAAATCATGTTCAAATGGATAGGATACTAAATACATTTGCACACATCTTGTGTCCATATCTTTCTGTTTTGGTGGTCATGCCACAACCGTGCACGTGCATGCATGTGCGAGTCATAGTGAGTGTCTGCATTTTGGGGGCGGGGGGCGCCAGCTAAAATCTTGCCTAGGGCAGCAAATTGGTCAGGGCCGGCCCTGGCTGGGGTGTATGGTTTAACCATGTCCTGGATGTAGGAAGGGCCAGATCCATTCACAGCATGGTACGCAAGTACCAGTGTTTTGAAGTGGATTCTAGCAGTTACTGGAAGCCAGTGAAGGGAGCAGAGGAGCGGTGTGGTGTGGGAGAATTTAGGAAGGTTGAAGACCAGACGAGCTGCTGCATTCTGGATGAGCTGCAGAGGTCGGATGGCACATGCAGGTAGACCAGCCAGGACGGAGTTGCAGTAGTCTAGGCATGAGATGACGAGAGCCTGGACCAGAAGTTGCGTCGCTTTCTGGGTCAGGAGGGGACGTATCCTCCTGATGTTGTAAAGAGTGTATCTGCAGCAGCGGGTTGTTGCAGCGATGTTTGCAGTGAAGGACAGTTTGTTATCTAGGGTCACACCCAGATTCCTTGCAGTCTGAGTCGGGGAAACAACAGAGGGGCCGATGTTGATTGTTAGGTCAAGGGTGGGACAATCTTTTCTGTTTGTGTACAGAGAGAAGAGGAGGGGACCAAGGACAGAGCCCTGAGGGACCCCTGTAGTTAATTAACAAGGGTCGGACTCGGACCCTCTCCAAGTTAACCTGTAGGTGCGGTCTTTGAGGTATGAGGTGAGGAGGGAAAGTGCAGAGCCTGAAACTCCAAGTTCTTGGAGAGTGCGAAGGAGGATCTGATGATTCACCGTGTCGAATGCAGCAGACAGGTCCAAAAGGATGATGACAGAGGAGAGGGAGGCTGCTTTGGCAGTGTGCAGTTCCTCAGAGACAGCAAGGAGGGCAGTTTCTGTGGAGTGACCTGCCTTGAAACCAGACTGGTGCAGATCAAGAAGGTTGTTCTGATGGAGATAACAGGAGAGTTGTTTAAAGACAGCGCGTTCAAGTGTTTTAGACAGGAATGGGAGGAGAGAGACAGGCCTGTAGTTTATAACATCGGACGGGTTGAGAGTGGGTTTCTTTAGGAGAGGGTTTACTTTTGCCTCCTTGAGACTATTTGGAAAGTGACCAGAAGTTAGAGAAGTGTTGATGAGATGGGTGAGAAACGGTAGAATATCAGGAGCGATAGTCTGAAGGAGGTTTGAGGGGATAGGGTCCAGAGGACAGGTGGTAGGACGGGCTGAGGTAATGAGGGTAAGAACCTCACTTGGAGAGAGAGGGGAAAAGGAGGTTAGTGTGTGGGTGAAGGGTGGGACTGGTGACCCAGTGGTGAGTAATGGTGAGTCGGAAAAAGAAGAGCGAATATCATCAACCTTTTTTTCAAATTAGTTAACAAAGTCGCTTGGAAGAACGGAGGAGGGGGAAGGGGCTCTGGGGGGGTCGAGGAGGGTGGAGAAGATAGAAAATAGTTTTTGGGGATTGGAATAGGAAGAATGGATCTTATCTTGAAAGTGCTTTTTGCCTGGGAGATTGAAGATGAGAAAGAGGAGAGGAGAGATTGATAGAGTAGGAGGTCGTCAGGGTGTTTGGATTTCCACCATTTCCGCTCAGCTGCCCGAAGGATGGTTCTGTTAGCACGCAGTGCGTCATTTAGCCAGGGAGCAGGAGGGGACTGACGAGCCTGCCGAGATGTGAGAGGACAGAGAGAGTCCAGAGAGGATGAAAGAGTGGAGAGTAGAGTTTCTGCAGCAGAGTTTGGAGGCAGGAGTTGGAACGAGTCAGACGAAGGGAGGGCTGAGAGCACCGATGAGGTAAGAGTAGAGGGGGGGAGGGAACGAAGGTTACGGCGGACAGGTGCAGAATGAGAAGAGATTAGTTTGTTATGTTTGGAAAGGGGTAGAGAGAATGATATGAAGAAGTGATCCGAGGTGTGAAGCTGGTTTACAGAGAGGTTAGAAGTAGTGCAGTTCCTTGAGAATATGAGATCAAGGACATTGCCAGCTTCATGAGTTGGTGGGGATGGAGACAGTGAGAAAGCAAAGGCGGTTAAAAGAGATGTTAGTTCAGCTATCTTCTCTGTCTGGAGGCTGAAGTCTCCGAGAAGTACAGCGGGAGGGCCAGTTTCAGGGAAGTGTGAGAGATTATCTAATTCCTCCAAGAAGTCCCCCAAGGCGCCTGGTGGACGGTAGAGAACAACAATGGTTAATTGTATAGGATGGGTTACAGTAACGGCATGGAATTCAAAGGAGGAAGGAGAGAAGTTAGGTAGTTGGAAGAGGGAAAAGCTCCATTTGGGAGAGAGCAGGAGACCAGTGCCACCTCCTCTGCCAGTGGGTCTGGGTGTATAGGTGAAGGAATATGTCATGTTATGTTACGTTATGTTACGCTACGTATTGTTAAGTTACGTTGTGTTACGTACTCCCACAAGAATGATTGTGGCTTATCTCGGGCGGGGGTTCATTGGATTCATATTAGTCTTAATTTCAGGAATAAAGTGGAACTTTCAGTATATTTGCTAATGACAGTTCTTTAATTTTTAAATGTTATAAGTTAAATTAAATTGAGTTACACAAATAAATATTCTTCACATTCTTTTTTCCTTGTGTTGTATTCTTGAACTGCAAAACAAATCTTCCTCTTGTTTTGATACGTTGATGGTCCAATTCAACTGTGATGTTAGAAAAGGGTTTGAATTGATTCGTGAAGTGTTGCATTCTCTTTGTCTAAAGTGCCGTTTGAAAACTCACAGTACAACTCAGACTCATTAATACATTTATTAAATATAGCCGATGTTATTCCATTCATAGCCACTCTTGGAATACATTTCATTTTTATAAATGTCGTAATTTACAGAGAAAAAAAACCGCATCATTGTCAACAAAGGGAAAGAAAAGACTACATGGATCAACATTGTTGGAGACAAACTTATCTTAATTTGTGAATGTAAGCTGGAGAAAAAGTAAAACACAGAAGCATCAATCTGAACAGCTACTGTACCAAAACAAGCTCAGGTCAACCGGTGTTTCTCTGCTCTGAAGCCTCTTACCGAGGACATATTGTCTCAAAATAAGCACTTGAGTAAGTAGCGTAATCAACCTCAATGTGGGGCTTTTTTATGCACACAAATGCAACACAAATTCAAATCACACAGGAATGGGAAGTGCTGCCAAACAGGGAGGGAAAGAGGAATGGCTCTTGTTTTTTATTACATCCATCTCAGAGCGAAAGACTTCTCTTCGTGGGAGACCGGAACAAAGGAGATGAACAGACAGTTATAAAAAATGTACCAACTGCTCAAGGTAAGAAATCTATACAAACTTTACATTGAAAATCACGGACATTCCGTCTAGTAAAAACAAAGCGAAGCACTGACTATGAAAATCCAAAAATACAGCGATCTTCTAACGGGATGAGTTATAATACAGGACATCACTGATGTCAGCTGCTTTACACAAACAAACCCCGCCATCGGCTTATTTATCAGTCAAACCGCGACAGAGGCTTCAGAAGAGGAGTGAAAATGTAATTCTGCTGGGTTTCAACACCGCTCTTCGTTGATGAAGACGAGGAACATACAATCAAAGTGCAACTAAAGAGACCGCTCTCGGCCTTACTTACTCATCTCATTTTTCCTACTTTGCCTCTTTTTGGACAACTTAAGCACAGAACTGTTTAAAAAGGTGTGCTCCGTCTCATCAAATAGCTCGAACAGCGTTTACCTATCATAGTTTTCTTTTGTTAAAAAATAGAAATATCTCTTGTGTAAAAAAATATCACAGGTGATTTATTTTTCTTTGAGTACAAATAGGGGGAAAAAAGGAAATTCTTGGCAAATCTTTGTCTCCAAAAAAGTGACGATGGGTGGGAGATGGTATGTTCTAGGACATGGTGGGTGTGTGGTGCTTTGGGATGAGCTCTGCAGGCGGTCAGTACATGGAGGGTGGGGGGGCGGAGGACCAACTGCAGTTTGGTTGGCTGTGTTGTGAGTCTTTTCTCTAAGCCGGCCTCCACCTCACATTTCAGCGTCTGTAAGTCTACGTCACAGCGCTCCTTCAGTTCTCCTGTGTTCTGGAAGGCTCCACCTCACTCTGGCCCAGCGGCTCTGCCTCCGTTCTGCACCTCTTGGCCGGCCGTTCCTGCGCTGCTGCTGCCGGGTCTCGGTGGTCCAGCGGGGGCTCCAGGGAGCCGTTTTGGTCGTGGCTGGGCGCGCTGGGTTGGCTGCAGCCGTTGGAGTTGCTGTCTGAAA